ATAATTATACTGGATTCATCAAGCTTGTTTCGAAAGATCCATTTGGTACCGATAATGGTATGATCTTTAGGTTTTGGTACAAGTTCCCACACTTTATTTCTCTCAAATTGGTTAAGCTCTTCATGCATAGCTATCATCCAATGTTCATCGAATTCGGCTTCTTGAAAGTTTTTAGGCTCAATCTGTGAGAGAAAAGCCAAGTTACTACAAATATTTCTAAGTGAATAGCGAGTTTCAATACCTTTTGTAGGGTCACCTATGATTAAATCCATATGGTGATTATGAACAAACTTCAATTCTCTTGGCAAATCATCATTGTTTCCTTATTCTTCTTGAGGTGGAAGAATAGGTTGTTCAATCTCTTTGTTTAACTTACATAGTTGGTTATCTTCTTTGTAGATACTTTAATCTTCCACATTTGGTTCCAAATCTATATTATCACTAACAATTTACTTTTGAGCAGAAATGTTAGTTTCATCAAATGCCACATGTATAGATTCTTCCACAACAAGAGTTCTTTTATTAAAAACATGATAAGCTTTGCTAGTTAAGGAATAGTTAAGAAAAATTGCTTCATCAGATTTTGAATCAAATTTACCTAAATTATCCTTACCATTATTATGCACAAAACATTTACAACAAAAAATATACAAGTGACTAATGTTGGGCTTTCTATCATGCCAAAGTTCATAAGGAGTCTTTTTGAGAATTAGTCTAATTAATGCACGATTTAAAATATAGCATGCTGTGTAAACAGCTTCGGCCAAAAAATATTTAGGAAGATTATTTTCGCAAAGTATTGTTCTACTCATCTCTTCTAAAGTTCTATTCTTCCTTTCTACTACACCATTTTGTTGAGGGGTTCTAGGTGCTGAAAAGTTATGTCTAATACCATGCTTATCACAAAACAATTCAAATTTCTCATTTTCAAGTTCTTTACCATGGTCGGTTTAAATTTCTCATTTTGAATTCTACGACAAAGTTTTGTGAAAGAATAAAATGTTTCATCTTTGTGTGCTAAAAACATAACCTATGTAAATTTTGAATAATCATCAACAATAACAAGATAATAACGTTTACCACTTAGACTAGATGTCCTTGAGGGACCAAATAAATCTATATGCAATAGTTGTAAAGGTCTAGTTGTAGAAATATGAGATTTTGATTTAAATGATGTTTTAGTTTGTTTTCCTTGTTGACAAGCACTACAAAGATGATATTTTTCAAATTTAGTTTTTTGAAGTCTAATGACCAAACCCTTTATCAAAAGTTTAGCAATTAAATCTATATCAGCATGACCAAGTCTTCTATGCCATAACCAACTATTTTCATTATTAACATATAAACATTTAACATCACTAGCATAGAGATCATTAAGATGAAAAACATAAACATTATCACGGTGATTATCAACGAATAAAGCTTTATGATCATTTGTACTTTCAATTGTGAAATGTGATTTATCAAAAATAACTTGATTACCTTTATCACATAATTGACTAATACTAAGTAGGTTACGCTTAAGTTCATCAACAAATAAAACATTTTCAATAGAAAGGTTAGGAGAAATACCGATGCTACCAATACCGATGATTTTTCATTTCTTGTTGTCTCCAAAAGTAACAAATCCTCCATCTTTCGATGTAGTTTAGTAAATAATGATTTATCTCCGGTCATGTGTCTGGAACATCCACTATCAAGGTACCACTTCCCATCTTTAGCTTTGGACTTAAAACAAACCTACAAGATGACAATCAAGTGTTGGTTTTTGGTACCCATAGTTTCTTGGGTCTTTCTTGGTTAGTTTTGTTAGATCCCTTAACAATCCAAATCTTTTTAATTCCCATATTTATATTATTTTTGAATGGACAATAAGATATATAATGGCCTTTCTTTCTACAATAATGACAAGTAATATGAGGGTGAGTCATGAGAGGTGCCTTTTTCAAAAATTATATTGAGATTCTTTTATTTTTTAATAAGGTCATATCCAATGCTTGCTTTATTGAAAACACATCTTTGATTTCCAACAAGCATGTTAAGATTATCTCTACATTTTATAAAATTTTCAAGTATTTTTGTTAAATCATCAACATTGTTTTGTAAAGCAGTTTTTTCATTAGAGATGGTGTCAAAATCATTTTTTCAAATAATTTTTTCTTTTTTTAATTCTTCTACATTAATAGATAAAGATGCAACAGATTTTTTTAACACATTATTTTTAGCACAAACTTTTCTAAATTCATCTTGTAGTTCATGGAATACACTTTCAAGTTTTTCATAAAGAGTAGTTATCTCATATTGAATAGAGTCTTCATCTTCAAGAGCCATGAGACATAAGTTGGCTACTTCATTTTCAATTTCATCACTTGAGCTTTCATCTTCACTTTTTTCCCAAGCTGCTACCATGGCCTTTTTGTTTCTTTTGTAGTCTTTTCCATGATTCTTCAATTTTGGACAATCCATCTTCATATGTCCAGGATTTTTGCACTCATAACAAATTATAGGTTCTTTCTTGTTATCATTGCTGTACTATTTCTTAAAAAGTCTTCTTCCTCCATAATTGTTTTTCTTAAAGTGTTTTTTGAGATTTCTACTAAACATGGCATAACTTTCAGCCTCACTGGAGTTTTCATATTCTTCTTCATTTGATGAGACTTTGAATGCAATTCCACTTTTCTTTTTATTTTCAACATCCTCATGTCCTTTCATGGTGATCTCATGAGTCATAAGGGAACCCATAAGCTTATCCAATCCAAGTGTGGAGAGATTTTTGGCTTCTATAATGGCCGTGACCTTTGCTTCCTCATTCTTTAGTAAACACCTAAGAATTTTTCTTACCAACTCACTGTTAGTATAAGTTTTGCCAAGAGATTTCAAAGAGTTTACAATTTCAATAAATCTAGTAAACAACTTGAAATAGATTCATCAGAGTTTATTTTAAACAATTCATAACTATGAACAAGCATATCAATATGAGATTCCTTAACTTTGTTTGTACCTTCATACGTTACCTCAAGTTTGTTCCAAATTTCTTTTGCCGAATCACAAATTGAAATTCTATTATACTAATTGGAGTCTAATCCACAAATAAGGGTGAGTTTGGCTTTAATATTGGCTTGCAATAATTTATGATCTCTCTCATTACATTCATCTTCAGTTTTAGGTAAACTAATATTGTCTACTAAATTGGTAGGAATTTTGGACCTTTGGTGACAAAAATTCACATGGCATAATCAGTGGCTTGTAGATATAGGGTCATTTTATCCTTCCAATGACTATAGTTGTTTCCGTCAAACAATGGTGGCCTATTTGTGGCTTGTCCTTTAGCTAATGTTGCCATGGATCGAAACTCGTAGATAGTTAAATTTAAAATAAGAGTCTAGGCTCTGATACCAATTGTTATCCAAAAGACAACCTAAGAGGGGAGGTGAATTAATTACAATTAAAAATTAATAATACCCTAATAAAAATTATGACTAGCACAATAGATAAATATAGTTAATGAAATAAATTAAAACAAGTGTTCTATGTCAGTTAATGATTTTAGCACAGTAAAAATGTGAAATATAACTATGGCAATTTAAAATAAAATAAAAAGATAATGGAAAGAGAGGCAAACAAATTTATAGTGGTTCGGTTTCAATTCGGCCTACGTCCACTTCTCAAGCTTCACTTGAGATTTTTCACTATGCTCTAACTTCATGGGGGTGCTAGCAACCTCTTTACAAATTGAGCAATCCTTCACGAATTTTGTACAGATTTTCTAAGTCAAGAATACTGAGTGTACTACACTCTTACAATGTTGAAAAGAATGTGTTTTTGCTTTCACAGAAAGCTATAAGAATTATCTATCAAAAATAGATATAAAAATGAAGTTCTGATTTTTCTGTAAACCTCACACAGGAAATATGGGCTTAAAGCTATACATCTCAGTGTATAATTTCTGAAATAAGATGTAAACAAAAATTGAAGAACACTCATCAGAGAATTTTTCAGAGAATAGATGTGAGTGATTATAGATCAAAAAATATTTTTCAATTTTTTTTGTAACTTGTTTACATTAGAGGCTTTGGTATATATAACGAAACTTATAGCCGTTGTATTCATTTGAATTTATAGCTGTTTATAACCGTTGTACTTCCATCATTACCAATTTGAATATTTTCCATTCTATCATTACAAATTTGAATATCTTCCACTTGAACCTTTTGAACCTTTTGAATATAGCCATTTATAGTCGTTGTACTTCCATCATTACTAATTTGAATACCTTCCACCCCATCATTACAAATTTGAATATTTTTCACTTGAACTTTTTGAACTGCTGTTGTGCTGAGCTATTTGAATATCTGTTTTGGGCTGTTTGAACTCCTGATTTAATCAAATATTAAATACATTCAAACAGTATTTAGGATAAAAGTTTAGGTGAGAAATAATGGGACAAAATAAATTTTGATTCTATTTTTCTCTTTCAAACATAATTAAATAAATCATCAAAATAAATTTTAGATTCTATTTAAAACATAATTAAATAAATTATCAAAATAAATTTTGAATTCTATTTTTTTTTTCAAATAAATCATTAAAATAAATTTTAATTCTATTTGTCTCTTCTAAATAAATTAAAAATATAATTAAATAAATCATTAAAATAAATAAGTCTAACAAAATCATTGACATAAACAACTTTAACGAAATTGGGAACCCGCATTGCTACATAGATGCTAAAACTTATGACAGTGGTAGTATTTATGATAGTGCTGGTATAACATTTAATCAAAATAAAATCAAGCGAATCTAAATAACGCTTACCAAAAAAATGAAATTAATTAGTGTACAAAAAAACCCTCGAGACCAAATAATTTAACTTTCCTCCGTTTAAGATTTATGGGTAATTTATCCCCTAATTTTATGAACTAAAATATCTTTTTCCAAAACCTAGAAAATGAATCGGACGGACTGGGCGGGTGATCGGGTCGATGTAAATACCCACTCAGAGAGAGAGAGAGAGCCTCGAGAATTCATCGCAACCTTGGGAGTGTGAACTTCTTCTCCTCCTCCTACTTCTAGTACTTCTGGCTCACTCCCAGCCCACATGTTCTGGAGTTGAGAGCCATTAAATTTTCTAGGGTTTCGACAAATTCCAGCTTGATAACAACTAAGCATTTCGTCTTCACTAATTTACATTCAACCCCCACTTCAATCACCACCCACATTGGCTCCTTCGGTCGCACACAGGTTACTTCACTTTCTCTCTCTAAATCAATTCTATATAACTATTTGTACTTGAAGGTGATGAAAATCACTGTTCTATATGTTGATTCTTAGCTTTAATTAGTAGATTTATAAGCAGTATTTATGTTTCTTGATCATAAGCTTTGGTTTCTGAGAAAAACAATAGAGGTAAATTGAAGTCTATTTGGGGTTTTTTTTTTTTTTTAGCTTAATTGGAAGATTTACAAGCACCGTTTTTGTAGGTTAGTCATATAAGTATGTTATGTTGTGTTTGGGACATTGTGCTGCTGAGAAAATATGCAAGTCTATTTGGGTTTTTTTTGTGTGTGTGTGTGATGTATTTGTGCTTGAAGGAGATAAATAACAGCTAATTGTTGCTTATTTCGTGTAATTAGTAGATCTATAAGCACGAACTATGCTTGGTTGCTGAGAAAATAAATTCAGTGAAAAGAACGAAGTAGGAAACTGAAATGTTGAAATCTTTCCTTTAATTTTATTTTTGATTTCCCAAAATTGACAAATTGCCATAGGCCCTTATGGTTTTGGATAAGCTATGTTGACAACGTAGTTTATGATTCTGGTTTTTACAGGGCAGTTCTAGTTGCGGTATGCAATTACGAATTCCTCATTTATTTGTGAATATTCTTGTACACTCACAATGTTGAGTAGCAAGAGCCAGAATCCTCGTTTGGGATCATTGCACTGGAAAAATGATGTTGTTAACAAAGCTACAATAAGGTTTCATGAGGGCTATTGTAGTCAGTTGAGCAATTAGCTAAATTTGTAAAGTAACCCTCTTTCTATTTAGGGAATCAAACCTTATAGAGCCCAAGCTAAATACCTTAATTATGCTCAATTTGGTAGACTTTCTTGCATATCTTGGTCTCACATGGCAAAGACTTTAACATCAAGTCCATTATTTTAAAAGATCTACCAGTTCTCTTTAATTGTCTCTCTTTCTATTTCTAGTGGTTCTCTGATTTTGCATATGGTGTACTCACTCTGCAAAGATCTTTAAGTTATCAGGAAGATAAATTTTATGTAAAACATTTCTGATTCAGGTATATTGCACAGGTTTCTATTTTCTTCTTCAGGATTTCGTCTTTTGAAAATGGCGGCAACTGCTGCTACTGGCCTGCAAATTGGTGCTGCAAGGCCCTCCATTTCATCTACTAGCAGAATTTTCAAGGCTTGCGCAGCAAGTGTTGGTGCTGATTCTAAAGGGATATCATGGGCTAGGCTTGCTAGTGCTTGTCATATATCATCTCTGCAACATTTTCAGCGCAATTTCATGTCATCTCCTGTAAAATTTGAGAAGGTTGTTACAAGGGCTATGTCTGAATCTGGTGAAAACAAGCCTGCATCAGGGTTACCAATTGATTTGAAAGGTGATTCATGTATTTCCTTAATTTGTGTATATGTTTTTATTATGGAGTCTCCTATTATGGTTTCTCTGCTTGTAACAAAATGAAATGTTAGTTGATTACTGACTTCCAGCTACTATGAACTACCTTGCAGTGTTTGATTCATATAAATGCTCTAGAGTTGTGTATTATGATTTCCTTGTTTGGATATTCACTACTAGAGTCTAGAACATAACTAGAAGAAGGTCTCATGAACTGGTTCATCATTCTACAAAATCATGGGAGATTAACAGATAACTCTCACAGTGGCATTTCAGTGAACTTTGTGTACTCATCTTCAACAGGGAGTTAAATTTACGTTCATTAAAAACTTAAGTTTTAAATAATGGGAGACATTATGTCAATATTTGCCTGGATCGTTGTCATTTTTGCTATTGGATAATTTTGTAGTTTTGAAAATTTTGACTGCAAGATTGTTGAATATATGGCTTTCATTTGTCACTTTGTTTCTTGATAGCAGTATAACTAAAGTAATAAGTAACTGATGATAATGTCATTTTCTATTTGACTTTCCTTGCGTTGGTTGTTCCCTACCAAAACACTTATAAAAACAGTTCTCATCCAGTTATCCATGAGTTGTGTCTCAACATAAAAGTTTACTTTCATTAGAATTTATTATGTAATCTAAGAAACTATATCAAATAAATTTCCAAGCCTCTGTCATGTTGCAGTGTCTTCTAATTTTATTCAGTTTTGATTTTAAGTCAATTTAGTGGCTTCCTTCTTTGTCTTCTTGTTTTATGATAGAACATTATATCAGTAGTCTTTCATCATCTAAAACTGAAAGTGCTCTTTATAGGTAAAAGGGCATTTATTGCTGGTGTAGCTGATGACAATGGATATGGCTGGGCTATTGCAAAATCTCTGGCTGCTGCAGGTGCTGAAATCCTTGTTGGCACTTGGGTTCCCGTAAGTGGATTGGTTAAGCTCCATGATGGTAGTTTTCACCTTATTTCCAGAGATCTCTTTACTTTTTTCAATTTGTCTGGTTATTGATTAGGAAACTTTTTGTACAGGCTTTAAATATTTTTGAGAGCAGCTTAAGACGTGGCAAGTTTGATGAATCACGCGTGTAAGATTTTAGTCTTATGTTTCTGTCTCATGAATGGGCAATGCCTAATAATTGGCCTTTGCTAATGTCAAATTTAATGTTTCAGATTGCCTAATGGTTCTTTGATGGAGATTACCAAAGTATATCCCCTAGATGCAGTCTTTGACAATCCTGAGGATGTACCTGAAGATGTAAAGCAAAAGTGTATAAATTTCATAATGCAGATTAAAAATGATCAAGTATGTTTTCCATTAAATTGTTATGATGTGGCTCCATGCAGATAAAAGCAAATAAGCGCTATGCTGGATCATCCAAGTGGACTGTTCAGGTATATTTTTTCTTCCACTCTCTGCTTTGCATATTTAATTATTGGTAGAGGAGTTTTGAAAGTGTGTAGTTCAAAGGTTCAGCGTCAAATTCCAACTATTCACTTAAAATTGAGGGTAAACCTCATGCCACCACTAAATAGCGAAGCTAAACCTTGTCTTTAACTATACACTGTGCCTGGATGTGAGCCCATGCACAGCTACTGGTTTTATTTTACCTTATGCAAAAAGTCAAATGTTTGAGTGTACCTAGTCCACCCCTTTCAGTTGTTTTGATAATTTAATCTCATTTCAACGCTGATCAACTCAAGCTAATTTTAGGATCTTTTAAGCTTCAAGACATTGTAGATGCTTGAACTTCAAGTTGGTTATTGCAGATCTTGACATGTAAACAACAACCATGATCTCACTATTTGTTTTTGAAATATCTCACAGGAGGTTGCAGAATCTGTGAAACAGGATTTTGGAAGCATTGACATTCTTGTGCACTCACTTGCTAATGGGCCAGAGGTACGTAATTTCTTGTGTGTAGTTTGTCTTTACACCATCATTCTATACATCGTTCATCTTGTTACTTAATAGGGGTAAATTTTGTGTTTAGGTCACTAAACCTCTGTTGGAGACATCCAGGAAGGGATATCTTGCAGCAATATCTGCATCAAGTTATTCCTATGTTTCTTTACTGAAACATTTTATTCCGATTATGAACCCAGGCATGCTTCTCACTCCAATGAGATGATCCGTGCCATCTCTTTATCTTTTGTATCTGTTCTATGTTCTATTTTGATTTTTGGTTTATATGAGTTACTTGGCAACATGGTAGAATCTAAGAATGGTTGTTATTGCAGGTGGGTCCTCAATTTCCCTTACATACATTGCTTCTGAGAGAATCATTCCTGGGTATGTGTTTATCTTGCTTAGCACATTGTTCTTGTTTCCATACTATAAATTTATTTGATGGATGAGAGTCTTATCTTTGTACTGTATCAAACATGGGCGAGAGTTCTTATTTTTAAACTGTAATCATACACAGTTATGGTGGAGGCATGAGTTCAGCAAAAGCAGCACTAGAGAGTGACACAAAAGTTAGTTCTCCTTTAATTACCTTTGAAAGTTTTGATTGACCTTGATTTTCTGTAGTTTTCCCCTATTTTTATGGTTTTAACAGCACAGATCTATTGATTGAGTCAGGTGCTTGCTTTTGAGGCGGGAAGGAATCATAAGATTAGGGTCAACACAATATCTGCTGGTACTTTGCTCCATCTTCAATTTTTTGTGTTACTCGTTAGAAAAGAAAGGTTATGGAATTCTTTTAGATCCTACCTATCATGTTCAGTGGTAGGTCCGCCGTTCAAAGTTGAGTATTTGCTGAAGTTTAAGAAATGATGTTTGGTGGTTCAACTAATGATGCAACCTTAATGAATGAAGTGTTTACCAACTCTCAGATGTCTCTAATTGATCAGAAAGTTATCTTTCACCACCTCGGCAAGGGCAATGTTCTGCAATTTTACTGTATTCAATTATATTGATTTGTTATATCAAGCCATTGAATCCGTGCATACAGATAAAACTACGTACTACACTATCTTTCCAGAGCATTTTATGTGTGTTAGGACAGGCACACATTAGTTTGTTTGGTTCTTAAACATCTTGAATGTTTCAATTAAGCAGTCGGTTCCTCTTGGGGCTTTTCTTGCTGTTTAAGGTGTCATTATAGTTTTGACCCTTTTGGGTAGCTCTTGTTTTCTCTTGGGACACATTAACTAATGATATAGTTGACACGTTTCCACAAGCACCTTGCGAATTCAACCTTACAATTACTCATTCTGCCATGACAAATAAAATGGCTTAATTCCCTGTCAAAACATGGTGAGACCTTGTATGAACGTGTAAATATCTTACTTGTATTCTTGTTTAGTCAATCTTCTGTCTTTTGACTGGCAAGGGAAAATTTATCAGGTCCATTGAGAAGCCGAGCTGCAAAAGCAATTGGATTCATAGATATGATGATTGATTACTCGTTAGAAAACGCTCCTTTGCAAAAAGAGCTATCTGCAGGTAAATCACCTAGAGCTTGTGCTTTTCCTTGCATTTTCCCCTCCTATAATATTTATCTTGCCCATTATAACTGAGTTTGAGAAACATATGAAACAGATGAGGTGGGAAACACCGCTGCCTTCCTGGTATCGCCATTGGCTTCTGCCATCACTGGTGCTGTTATATACGTTGACAACGGTCTGAATGCGATGGGCGTGGGAGTGGATAGTCCTATATTTAAAGACCTTGATATTCCAAAGAATAAGCATTAGAGGTATCGGATGGTTTACAGGATAGAAGAGGAGATTTGAAATCTTAGGTTAGTGGTGGTGTTGCTGTTTTTCTCTTCTTTAACCCCCTTATGGTCATTACCCAAGAATGGCTTGGCCAGCCAACCCCATTTTGTCATGAGAGCATCTGTTTCTTCCAAAGGGACTTTCTTCTTGTTTCTGATATAATTATGGAAAAAGATTTTCGAGTATGACTTCCCATTATGTGCTCTTTGTTGAATTTAAAACAATTAATCTCCAACTGTGAAATCCGACGACGAACTTGATAGAATGCAGGAAATACAAACAATTTGATGTGTTTCTCATTTTCTCTGCTCCAATTCTTTTCATGTGGTATTTTTGATGTGCTAAATTTAATGCTCTCAACATTGCCTGTTTGTATTTTCCTGCTGTACTGGCATCTCTGGGCTACATTTGACTAGGTATGATTTAAATCATCGCTCTAAAAACAATCAGTTGAGGCAGTGTTTGGGTATCTCTACTAATACAAGGTGGCCTAATTAATGAGGTTTACTTATTAAGCATGATCCTCCTGGTGTTGTGGATGCGCAAACTCTTCTTAGAGTAATTTCATTTTTCACTAGCTAAAATATAAAAAGAGATATTTCTTATTTACTAGCTAAAAGATATTTCTTTATTTTGTCTAATATATTTTTATTAAATTTTTTATCTATATACACCAACGTTATTTTTTATTTTACAAATCATACATAAACTATTTAAAGAGCTTCCCAATGCTCTTCAAATGCAGTTAATTTTTTTTGTTAAAATAACTATTGTAATAGCTAATTTGTTTAGAGTGACTAAATTATGATGATAATAACTATAATAGCTAACAAGCTTTATTTAAAGAGTCTCTTGGAGATCCTCTAAGAGCAGTTCCAACAATAATCTTCATTTTCTACTACTTAAAATATTAAAAAAAGGAATTCTTTATTTTGCCTAATTTTTTTTTTTATTATTTATATACTCCAAAGTTACTCTATTTAATCTATCTATATATATTGTTTAAAAAGCCTTCCAAAGCTCTTCAAATGTAATTAACTTTGAAAAATTTTGTTAAAATAACTATTGTAATAACTAGCCCCATTGCATATTTTGAGAAGTAGATTAAAAATTAATTTTTTGCCTTTTTTTTGAGGAAATATGTAAAAAAACAGAGAACTAATGTGACTCAAAAAAATCAAAAAATTAACTTTTAATCCAATTGCTAATAGTTGGCAAACCTCATTTAAAGAGTCTTTGAAATATCCTAACTCTTTTTTCTTTCTTAACACAGTACATTTCGATTGAGGGTAGAAGGGGAACTAGATTTGGAATTTCATTTGGTGATTATCTGGACCGAGGGAGCTTCTATTTGCACACACTATATCCCCTCTTTTCACACACTTAATGAGAGAGTGTATTGAAAAGTTGTGTACGAAAGATGTATGAAGAAAGAGAGAGTTGTGTATGGAAATAGATGCTCCCCGGACTGATTCAGTCAGGTATTGAAAACATTGGCCTTGGGCACGGTAGTTGCATTCATTTCCTTGGCTTTAGTGTGCCAGGCCCTGCATGAATCACTTACTGACTTACCACGACAATCAAGAGAAAGAGAGAGTACTGTAACCACTTTTACGACTTACCACAATCAACGATTCTAGTTAGAATGAAGTCAATTTCAACCAAAATAAATTGGGTCTGGCTTTGGTCCAGTCTATCATTAGATTCGATTATGCTGTTGGGCCTGTGGGAGCCACCACGGGTCCCGTTTTGAAAATCTGAATCGTTCAATGTGTAGAACTCTTCAAGTACTATATGTTTATAAAAAATCACGTTGATCGAATATCGATAGCTATATAATCAAATCAATTTTGTATAAAAAAAATGGACGGTAAATAAATTAATAGTTGACAAAAAACTAATTTGATCACATAGCTATCGATATCCGATCAACGTGATTTTTTACAAGCATATAGTACTCGAAGAGTTCTACACATTCAACAGTTCAGATTTTCAAAACGGGACTCGTGGTGGACCTTCACGGACCCAACAGCACAATCCAATCCGATGATAAATTGGACCAAAGCCAGACCGAGAAAATTTTTCCCCACTGAGCACCCTAGAGTCCAGACACCAAACCTCTGACCAAGGGAAAATGTAATACAAAAGTTAGAACCTAACTAAGAAACTAATCAGCTTGCTTATTTTCATTTTTCAGAAAATTTTACTTTTTAATTTTTACTGAATTTTTATAATATTTTAAGCAATTTTTTTACTTTTTAGACACACCTAACATAAATACACCTAAAAAATAAAAAAAAATTATAAAAAAATCTTTTAAAAATTCACTAAATATCAAAAATACAAAAAAATACAATAATTCAGTACATTTTTTATATTTTTATGTATTTATTAATTTTTAAAAATATTTTTTCACAATTTTTTTACTTTTTAGATGCATCTAACTAAGGTGCATCTAAAAAAGTAAAAAAAATATTTAAAATTTAAAAAATATTTACTAAAAACAAAAAAATACGAGAACCAAAAAACTCAATTTTTTAAAAACTTAATCCAGAAAACTCAAACCAAACACGCTGAATAATAGATAAACAAAAACTTATCTACCTGCCTAGTTACTATATACATCACAAATCATATTCCAAAACATATATATTTACGGGGAGGCATCAAACAGAAAGGAACTCAAGTTTACGCTTGCACCTCCGGATGCCACTATTGGCATCACCAATCCCAGAAGAGTCTCCAACAACAACTGATAGGTTCTTTACAGTCGCCAGATGCTGCAATGGTGCCTGACAATCATTTGCATTTGCAGCCGCTGGCTTCCCTTGGGAACAACTGCCAATGTTCGAAAAATCCCTATGGGGCATCAACTCCTCTCCAACTGCCAAAAAATCCATCATCAACTGCAAAACCACACACATATACAAGCACAAATTACATTTGTAGGAAATAAACAATCGAAGCACATAAAGAATTTTCAAAAAGATGTTAATAATTACATAGTTCACAAAACAGATAATGGTTTGTGTACCCACTCAATAATAAGGGGGTATATGCTTCAATGGTTCGAAAAATTAGAATTTTTTTGAGTAAATCATAAAACACTATTGGTCGGGTACACAATCACATGCTATTCTGCACCCATGTAATAATAATCTCTCCACTTGAATAAAGTATTGGGAGTCGACAGACAAATACTTGCTTTCCAAATTTTCATCATAAAGATGACAATATAAAAGAGGTTGATGACCACCACATAATTCACAAGACAAACAAAGCTAGAACAGAGTATTTGGACAGACAAATACTTAAAACTTTAAAAAAATCATCATAAAGATGACATTTATACCCAATCTAACATCTAAGTTCTAGAGAAGTTTCATACCATCTCATTTACATGACGATTTCTATTTATATGCACATCAATTACAATAAAATTCTTTAGTTTTGTACCTTCCAATCCTTGAAATCATATCTGAAGACAAAATGGCTGTAAGCAACTTTACCCGACATAACAGAAGGGGCATCAGCAGCATTTGTTGGCGCTGAAAAGAAAGTCAATAACTACAAATATAATACAAAAACAAATAACTAAACAATATTCTCAAATGGATGTTGTTAGTTGTTGTGTCTTACAAACAAGATGAGAGCCCTTTTCATCCACAGCCATTAAAACCCGCCCATCTTTGACCAAGAAAGACAGAGCAAATAAATTTTCCACTGTCTGTGCAAAAGATTTTCTATTCAATATCAAACTTTCAAGTTTAACCCTTCTCTTGCTCTTCAAGATGTTGAACATGGTCAACATATTCTCGTCAGTATCTGTCCTCTTTTCTTCTGCCCCAGTATTACCGAGCTATTGTAACAAGAAATTTACATGAATGAATACATACTGTTGAAAGAACCTGGCACCATTACTAGATTTGAATTTTATGAGTTGAAATCTCATGTATAAATAATGCAATGCACTCACAAAAGATTATTCGACTACACAAATATTAGAATGATCTAAAGAAATAAATCATCATAGTAAACAACTAAAATTGTGTGTCTAAGTACTTAACGCTGTTGCATTCCTAAAAATTATGTAAAGAAATTTGAGAAATTTAGCACTTGGTAAATAAACAAATGCTAAAACTTGAAAATCATCAAGTTTTCCACAGTCAATATATATAGCAACACAATTATATATACCTGTTGGGGCTGAGAACTTTCAGTTTGTTTTGCCCGTTTTCTGTAAACTGCAACGTTCCGCTGCTTAACTTCAGTTTGCATGGGTCCAAGCCTTGAGTGAAATAGGGAAAACAGAAAGTGTTAACAAGACAAAAAGTCGCTTACAAATAAAGATGATGAGATGAGGAAGCAAAAAGCCCCTTAGTTATTGCTGACTTTTTTTAGATTAGAGAGGGGTGACAACACTCACATGGTGCAACACCCTCGGAAATTCTTGAAAATGGGTGAAACAGCAAAGCCAATTTCTTTCCAGAGGATAGAGTTCTTGTGGGCAGCTTCAAAGTCCGAGGTTCCTTTTCTTCCTTGTACTTTTGTGAAGTCTCTCAGCAAACATGATATGAAATCCGATGGGGGTAACACCTCCTCCGATATGTGATTTAACAGAGGTCAACAAAGTCGTAGAAAGATTCATTAGAGCCTCTCCATCTGCAACTTGCTCCCTTGGCTTCTGAACTGAAAAAATAAATAAATTTTTTAAAAATAAATAAATGTAGTTGCAATGCCTACAAACCACCTTACATGTGATCTTTTGGAAAACCTTCACGCGCCCTACTCATATAAAAAATTAATGCGTTCAAAGAAGGTCTATAGAGACTGTTCACAGCAACAACATTTTCTAATTATCAACTTCAAAGCAAAGTAAACTAATCTTTGGAACCAAAACATATAGCAAGATCCTTTTCAAACATAAAATTTCAGTTATAGCTATATATATATGTAGACAACCAAACAATTTGATAAGCTATCAAAATTTGAAAAACAAGATGGCTGTGCAAAAATTTACCACTTGCACAGCATAACCATACAAATTTGTCGGTAAAAATGATTTCAACTTTCAAGTGTACTGATATACATAATTATCATCAAACAATTTGTCACTATTGATTTTGGAAACACATAAATGTTGTTTGCCTTCTAAAGTGTGCTACAAAATTCTATTAAAATTGTCTTTGAACATGAAATTGATTAGTGGACATATCTAAACAAGTGAACAATCTGTAATGCCAATCAAATTTATTA